CCCTTATACCCTCTCCTCATTCCTCGCCGCTCCCGTTCCTCACGCCTCATGACTCCCCCAGTCCCCCAGTCCCCTCAACCCCCCCAGTCCCCCCAGTCCCCCTCAACCCCCCCCCCCCCCAAGGAACGTAATCCAGCACGTTCTCGGTTGCTTGGACGAAGGACCGAGGAGTGTGACTCTGCAAGCTGTATGCAAACGGGGGCGCGACTTCAAAGCCCTCGGAGATTGCATGATTCTAAAAATAGTCCTGACGCTTGACAGATCCCATATCCTCCTCCTCCTCTTCTTTTTCTTTTTCTTCTTTTTCTTCTTCTCTTTCTTTTCTTCTTTTTCTCTCCCTTTTTCTTTCTTCTTCTTCTTCTTCTCTTCTTCTCTTCTTCTTCTTCTTCTTCTTCTTCTTCTCCATCTCCTCCTCCTCCTCCTCCTCCTCCTCCTCCTCCTCCTTCCTCCTCCTCCTCCTCCTCCTCCTCCTCCTCCTCCTCCTCCTCCTCCTCCTCCTCCACCTCCACCTCCTCTACCTCCCCCCACCACCATCACCACCACCACCTCCCCCCTCCTCCTCTATCCCCATAACCACCAACCCACCTTTAACGAAGAAGAAGAACCAGAGAGAGAAAATGGAGACGAAAGCTAATCACTCGACACCCGCGCCTCCTGCCTTGACGCCCGGGCAGACATACGAGGCTTGTCATGCGGCACAATGCCCCCAACATCCCCATCATAGGCGGACTTTATGTGACACTCATCACTGCCACCCGAGCTGGCCGGCGTAAGTACCGTGACGTCATAAGCTCATGAAACTCGAGCCGGTGGTGAGACGAGGCGATCGCTGCTGCGACTGAATGCGCGCGCGCGCTCTCTTCTTTCTTTTTGGCCCTCTCTCTCCCTCTCCTTTCTCTATCTTTCTCTTTCTGTCTGTCTGTCTGTCTGTCTCTCTCTCTCTCTCTCTTCCTCTCCCTCCTCCCTATCTATCTATCCCTCTCCATCTCCTCCCTCTCCCTCTCCCTCTCCTCCCTCCTCCTCCCCTCGCCATCACTCTTTTTTCTCTCCTATCTCCCATCTATCTCTTCCCTCCCCCTACAAACCGCCCCGCACCTTCCTCCCCTCCACCCTCCCCCTTACCCGCCCCCGCCAACCAAACCACCAACGCCAACCACACTACCACACACCCCTCCCTCTCCCCGCCCCTTCCCGTCGACCCCCCCCTTGCCCCCACCGAGAAACGAGTCTAAACGAGGTCCAAACGAGCCTATGAGCCAATTCCGCTAATGAGCATTTCAAATACAGAAAAGAAAAGAAAGAAGAAGAAAAAGAAGAAGAAGAGGAGGAACAGAAGAAGAAGAGGAGGAACAGAAGAAGAAGAAAGAAGAAGAAGAAGAAGAAGAAGAAGAAGAGAGAAGAAGAAGAAGAAGAAGAAAAAGAAGAAGAAGAAAAGAAAGAAAAAGAAAGAAAGAAAAGAAGAAAAACAACGAAAAAAACAGCTTGTGGTTGTGCTTACCACGTGACTTGGGGAACTGACTGCTGCTGGAAAAGGTTTCTGAGGCAAAACTTACCTGAAAAGAGAGAAAGAAAAAAAATATTATCGCTGCATAATCATAATATAAAAAAAAAGTGAAAAGCTGAAATTATATAAATCCAATGGCAATTCAAAAAATGACAGATAAGTATATCTTTACACTGAAAACTGAGAGATGAAGCAAAAATAAAACAATAGTATTACATACAAGTTTCGCAAAAATGGAGGAATTGTGAATTGCGAAAAAATACATATACACTAAAAATAATGACACTAATAACAATATTCGTAATAATGATAAAAATATATAATAATGATAATGATAATGACAACAACAATAATAATGACAATAATAACAACAATGAAAATAATAATAATAAACAATAATAAAAATACTAATACCAATATCACCTTATAAATAAAGCTCTCAATCCAATACCATACGGACCACAAAAATAATAATAATAATAATAAAAAAATAAATAAATGAAAAATAACATAAATATATATGAACATAAACACAAATACACCCCAAGCACCCCACCCCCCACCCCCCTCCTCTCAAAAACAACCGCAAAGCTGTCAATCAGATCTGTCAACAACCCTAAGTGGCGTGTATCGCAATCGGCCATGCTGTCTGTCGTGAGGGCGGGACCGCGGGCGTAGATAAGGATTATAATATGGACGGCGATGGCAGCCCTTGATGACAATACCGGTCACGGCGGGTGGGCGGCCGTGCGTGCGGGTGTGCGGGCGTGCGGGTGGGCGGAGGGGCGAGAGGGGCGAGAGGGGCTGAGGAGGTTAGAAGGGGCGGGCGTGCGGGCGGCGGGTGGGCGGAGGGGGCGAGAGGGGCGAGGGAAGATGGGCGGTATCGGGTATCTGGGGCGTCGGCGCGGGCGGGATAAGGTTGCATAAGGGCGTTATTCGAGACCCAGAGCTGTCGACGGGGGTTACCTTCGCGTCGGCAAACCCGTGATGCGGGGT